TTCAAAATTTCCTGATAGGGGAATCTTTTTATGTGCAATGCTGACAATTAGTGCTCCTTAAATATTTCCCACCAAGCAGTGCAATCTGCACTATACTGACTATGATATGCTGCTAGAAGCATTGCTTCCTCGCTTTTTCTCAGTTTCTTACGATATGCTTTTGATATCTTATAAACATGAGGTTTACGACCAAAGACAAAGATAACGACGTTGAGAACGGAAAAAACTGTGCGTTAGCCTATAAAGGTGGCTGGTGGTAAAATGGCTGCCATAACGCCAATCCAAATGGTTTGTACAAAGGCGGAGGTTACGCACCAGGTATTACATGTGTGTCATTTCGAGGTCAAGGATATTCTTTAAAGCACACCGAGATCAAAATTCGACCAGCATGATTTCAGCTGTGGTAGTTGCGTCTTTAGCCAACAGCAAACTTTAGCTTCTAATTAAGAATCAAAGATGTTCGCTGTGCGTGGAGTTATAATTCTTAATTTAGTTTGTGATGGCGCGTTTTACTGTAGTCTTTAATGTAAAATGGCTTTTAATGCTCTCCCCAAGCGTCACATTTTGTCTGAAATGATTTTCATTTGATTTTTTGTTATGTCTGGGTTGAGAGTAAATTTGAATGTCGCTAATTGTGCGATGGTCAATAATCACACGGATAAGTGAAGATAGCAGCTTAGAGAAAACTCGTCCATGTAACACTTAAATCAAATTGTGCCAGATAAAAATCCTTATGGTAAAAACACTATGACAAGCTCTTTATATTGCAAAAGAGATTTTTTTAGAAAAAAATATATCGTTGGTTAAAGATAGTGAAGTGCAGTTAAACCTAAGACTTAGTTAATTATCTTACCACTTTTCCATCCTCTTTATTTTTCATTTCATCGTTGCTAGCGATCACCGCTTGTAGCCGACTATGAATAATTTTAACACTGTTGGTATGTCTCTATTTTATGATACCATCCTTCCGTAAGCGACCACTTCACATGAGGCGACCTCAGTACAGGTGCCCTTCGCGTAACAGGACGCTTTTTTTGGTCGGTGGTAAGATAAGATGTACCTTGTAGTGCGCTTAAGTAAGTGTACTACGGATTAATACTGTACTGACTGTAGGATTCGCTCCTTATTAAGAATATTACAAGTTGTGAAATAAAGTAGTCGATTCTGTGGGATTTTAATCTTCTAGCTGTCGTTTGATTAAGCCGCAACAGATGATAGGTTCATTTGTTTTCGTTAGGTGTAATTCTAGGAGCATTTTATCACGGTTACATGGTGTTCCAAATCCCAGGGGGATGGTTAGCATTACGAGTGGGTGGAGCTCGTCTGTTCGGAGCTGCTGTCATCATCGCCTTATTGCTAACTATGTTAACTCCCATGGCAACGCGCTGGAACCCCATCGCATTGATTATATTAAGAATATTAGAGGGCTACGTGTTGGTGAGTTAAAAATAATAATAATGATGATGACGATGATAACGATTGTAGTAAAAAAAAGTGAAATAAGTACTAGTATTGTAAATGGTGCAGTTTAAAAAGAAGTCGTTTTTTAGAAAATTGTCTTAAGCTTCGATGTAAAAGTAGTTAGCGACTTACGATTATATATTTCACCAGGGATAAAGTCTCATAAAACTGGGGCAATGTATAGGACTATAATTATTTAGGACTTACACTTAATTTCTTTACCAGGAATCTGTCATATAAACACAATAGCCCTTTACTGACATGAAAAGTGAACTTTTTTAATGAATGAAAATAAAAGGATTGATAATCCCCGAATAAAAATCGTAAAGTGCCTTGGCGCTAAGGCTCAAGATGAAAAAAATGCCTTGAAAAACTACAAAAATAAACAATGGGCTTAATTTTAATGTACAAATTCTCAGTTATTGACTTGGTCCTTACGGACAGAAGAAATCTTTCAGGTACTCGGCCAAAATCGGCCTGTGGCAAACCTTCCGGTTGTCGATTTTCTCAGCCGCGAGAAATGCCCTTACCAAAGCCACTGATTTCGTAACTTTCGGTTTTTCTTTCCTTACAAGAAGTTTGGTTTCCTTTCCCCTCAAGGAAAGTTTGAACGTCTCTGTCAGTAAGCGATACGGATTTTTCAGTGTTTTAGCAGCCGTTATCCGAACAAATCCCGATAAACGACCTTGAATTGAGGATGGTGAAGGCTTTGCCGCTCATACATTAACCTGACCGAGAGGCGCAATTGACACGATTGGAGCAATTCCTAGAATTAATTCCCCGAACACTTCGTGCAGCTGAACTTGTTTCGCGGCAAAACTGATATTCTGATCTTAATTTCATGACCCAAGCTGAAAAAACTTCTTTTAACCTTCCAACTAACATTTTTTGGTTGGCTTGGTGAAAACTTTGGGGTTAATTTTAAATGATCTCTTTGGGCATAAGTAAGAAAGATACACGTATAAACGCGAAAAATAACGTTAGCCTGGTTATTATTCCACGAGTATGTAGAGAGCACGTGGAATTTTCCAGGGTATTAAAGTGAAGAACTGGGAAAAAAATAAGGGGTAACAAAATGGCCGAACTGAACGATCCAAACTTTGATTTTTTCGCTAGTTTTTCGTGCCTTGACTTTTAGAGAAACGAACTTCTAAGCGCGACAGATTTTTTTCTTGGTGTCAAAGTACAATTTTGATGGTAAAAGCTAAGTTTTTCGTTTGTCTCGGGATGTAGTCACGTGTGATGTGGATCGCGACGTTTCTACTGCATATGGCTAGTCTTCTTCAGGCGATGAGGTCATGTGTGATCTTATAAAGCATGATGTTCTGCTGTGATTGGTTGTTTTTCAACAGCTCTGATTGGTGCATTTTGATCCTTGCTGATCGCTCAGTGATTTGCTCCCTCGGCGGTCCGCTGTCGTGCGGCTCTCCTGCTGTTGTGTTTTTTGATCATGGGCATCCACGCTTCTGGAATTTCTATTCCACTATCCTGTTGATGTTGCTAGGGTGAAGTCTTATGTGAATTGCCTCCTTGACCCTGCGCGTGTAGTAATAAGTGTCACGGTCAGAAGAGCTGTTAACGGTATCCTTCAACAGGCGGAACCACCAAAGCCTAGAGAAGAAGACTAGAAGTATGCAGTCGAAGAAGAGTAGCAGTATGCAGTCGAAACGTCGCGATCTACATCACATGTGACTACATCGTGAGACGTCACACATAACTCGATTGAAGACCTGTCATCTTTCTTTTCTTTACTTCGTATTTCAATAAATAATTACTCCAAAATATAATTTTAAGTGTCTGCTACATTTCAACATGAACTTATAGAAAATAACCATGGAGAAAGATGTTTTGGACCAAAGACGCGTTTTGGGTATAAAGACGTGTAAATCTTAACTCTGTTACAAATTGAGATAGGAGGATTCCTTCTGCTGTTTTTTTTAAATATTTCGGACCTTTTTTATTGAAGATTGCTTAATGTTTATCTAACGCAAAATGACTGTTAATGCTCTCCCCAAGCGTTACGTTTTGTCTCGAATGATTTTCATTGGATCCTTTGTTATTTCTGGGTTGAGAGGAAATTTGAACGTCGCTGTTGGTGCGATGGTCAGTAATCACACGGTTGTGGTGGATGGAGAGATACTCTGCAGGGTAAGTGAAGATAGTACCTTAGAGAAAACTCGTCCACGTCAGTAACACTTCAATCAAATTGTGCCAGATAAAAATCCTTATGATAAAAACACCAAGAGAAGCTCATAATATCGGAAACAATCGGGGTCAACCTCAATACAGATGCCCTTCGCTTGACAGGACGTTTTAAAAGCCACTGACAAATGTCGGAATACTTCGTGTTTGTTTTTTGAAAGTGACTTACCAAGAGACGCTTCTATTGCAAAACTTTTTACTTTTAAGATTGCCATGTATCGTAGTTATTCTTTTGGTTAAAACATGTTTTCATGATATAACTAACGGGTTTAACATTGTATTTCTAGAGAGATCAAATTCGTAAACATATATTATCCTCCAAAGAAAAGAAATTCTATAAGTAGCGCTTAATTGGCAGTAACATTTTGTCAAAAAGCTGTCCCCAGCTTTATGTGTTTAAATTGTTACTCCATGTTTTGATTCAGAATTGTTTGCTTAACTTAATTAGCTGCGCTTTTTTCTGACGAGGTGTATATGGGCGCCAGGAAGTAAGCTGCCATCATCACGATTTAAAGGAGCGTGGGCGGAGTTGGTATGCCAGGCTTCCATACAAAGGCAGTGGTGGTAACGCCCATTAGTGGTGATAATTTTAGACCTATCTCACTCAATTGCATGGCTGGCTAGGCATGTGTGCTCCGATAAAGCTGAATTTTCTTTTTTGCAAAAGAAGACCCCTTTTTTTGAAGCTCTTTCAAACGTGTACCGAACTGACGTTTGGTCTGTCCGATATACTCGTTATCACAGTCATTGCACGGAATAGTCTGTTCTACAGACGTTAGCATTTATAACCAGGCATTACATAGGCAAGAAGCTTATCTTACAACCAAAAAGGTCCGTAAAGAGTTTCTATGCTGCATTGCTAAAACTAAATCGTGGCGTCAAGATCCTAGCGGGAAATATTCATATGATCGCCGTCTGACTGGGAAACTACTCACAGTTTTGCGTACATTCGATGGCTTTGTTGATAACATGTGCTAGAATATAACTGTGAAGATAACTACATGGAAATTCATTAAATGCTAAGACATGTTGTCTTGCATACCATGGAAGTTTCCGGAACATTTTATCAGGTCACGAAATCATGATGTAACACTACCATAATAGTTGTTGTAAGCCTCCAGAATGTTTTAAAATACTTTGTAAAAGTAGTTATTAGCTTTGTCGGGAGTGACTGATCGTTTGGAAAGCTATACGGGGGAAAGCGTAAAATTTAGAAATAAATCAACTATTATAACAACCTTTCGTAAAACTGTTCGGGAACTGAACAAGGTTTAGATAAATCTTTATATGTGTGTAATGTTTCTTAAAGTCACTCTTCCAACTTTGTACAATTTTATTTATCCTTCAATAAGATAGTCTAAGTACGCCGTGTCTTGAAATCGTGAAAAGGTGTGGATTTTTGGGAAACAGTTTTCCAGACTTGGCAAAGCTATAGAAGATAAAGACGAATCCTTACAAAGCAAAAAAACAAACAAGCAAAAAATTGGAAGTGAGTGTGGCAAGTGCAAAACTTGAATTTCACATTAATCAATAAATTGTGGGGGTATTGCCGCTGTAGACATCTTTTTTACATATTATAAGCCAGTTGTAGCGTATATCAGAAAAAAACAAATTATAAACTATGAATCATTTGATTACTTTCACAAGAACCAGTTCCACAGGAAATCAATCCATTGTCAAGTTGCGAGGTAATCGAATAAAGATTTGTATCTAATCTTCGAATGTGAAGAATTTGAAAACGATTCATAGAGTATAGCTTACACTAATCACTCACATATCAAGAGATTGTCGAGTGACAGACATGCACGTTTTTTAACATATCAGCAAAAGTTTCAATATCGATTTTTTTCACCTTTTAGTTTGATGAGTTTTCAACTAATGATTTTGATGATCAAGAGCTTTGTAATTTGTTATCTGAATGCGAACAGAGGCCAAATGGTTCCGGGAATAGATAAGTATCGTTTAATTTTATAATTCTTAAGAAACTTTAGCGACATATGTCAGTTAGAGTAAGGTTGGTGTATCACAGTTAGAGAATATTTTAAAATGTAAAACGGTATATGTCTTGAGCTTCTTCTTGCATGTAAAATCGATTAAAGGCATTCACCTCTCAAGACCAAACAAAAATTTCGTTATTGACGTTTGAAAATGCAAATGTTTCTCATTACAAATTTTAGAGCACCTGCAAAGATTATCCATGCAAAGAAAACGAAAAATGTTCCGCAAGCGAAAAATCCAAGACACCCTTCTGTAAGTGTATCAGAGGTAAGTGAACCCGATGTAATTTTGTAGTTTGTCAGCCATGAAATAATGTTCTTTAGGAGAATTGTAATAAAGTAGCTCTAGAAGAAGGGAGTTTCGAAAAGATGTAAGGACTATGTATGGCACAACCAGTTTTTGCTTTGCTGGTAATCATTACGACTGACAATATGTATACTTCTCACATTAACTGTGGTGTTACACAGGGATTTCCTGCCCTGAGAAAAGCCCTAACAACACACGTGAAAAGATATCGTATCTTTTCACGTGTGTTGATATACCCAATCAGCTTGCTGCATCTGGTGCTAATCCACCCGTTTCATCTGTCTTCGGCATTTTCAAAGGGCCCAGCATTTTCCCCTCCAAGGATTTTTTTGTCTTTTCTCTAACGGATCTACACTTACCTCTGATACACTTATAAAAATGAATGTTTGATTTGTAGTCAACAACATAAGTTTCATTCTCCTTGCGAGGATCATCTTCTTCGTAAGTACTCTAAATATTAAAAAAAGAAAATTAGTATGCAGAGATATCAAAAGATGATAGCAGCCTTTTTCGTTTAAGAAGGCTCCAAAGGGATTTTTGACCGCGCGAGATCTAGGTGCGAACATAGTGCGAGCTTTAAAAGTGTCAATATGCATAGCAAACATGGCGGCTCGATATGATCGCACAATTGTTATCTGAAAAGGTGCGTTAAAAAAATGTTTAGCAGTTTTTATGTGATGGAATCTAGGGTTTTCAGCAACTGCACCCGTAATATTTATACGCCCTCTGAAAAGGAGGTCAACCGAAAAGAAAACATCGTGGGATAGATTGCCAAAAGGCGACAGATCGCGACAGATTCGAAAGTTTACGCATACTCAGATACAGATCTTGGCGAGGTTCTATTCCATTACGTGATGTTTTACAACAAAGAAAATAGGGATCTCTCGAGCAAGATTTATCGCGTTTCCATCGGTGGAATTTCCTATGATTTTCTGGACCGTAAAACATATTTGTGCCCTTCTAGTGCCTGTTGATAACAAAAATTCATAAGACCAATCTTGAGATAGAGGAAGAAAACACTAAATTGTAAATGGCGGGAAAATTGCCTTTGTAACCCTTATTTTTTAAATTTTTTTTCTCCCAAATTGTGAAAATTTTGAGAGATTTTATCGAAGCAAATTGAAGAAAATCACTGGCAAAGCCAAATTATTACTGGCGAGCGCCTCCTTTCGTGGAGCCTCAGCTCAATAACGAAAATCATTTCGATAATATTTACTACAGTGAACAATATTTCAAACCTTTCTCAATGCCCTTTTGGTGGCATTTAGTGACCTAGAAGGGCAGAAACATAAAAAATTACTAGAAAAACAATACACTGGCACGCGCGCTGATGGGGAGCAAAAACTCTATGGAGTCTCAGTCATAAATAGCTAAAAACGTACTGCCTCTTGTCGGTTATGTATTAAATTTTAAAAGAAAGAAACTCATAACATAAACAGTTTTTGTTTTGAATAGTCCTAAAACGAAATCATCCCACTTTATTTCTAGATTAATTTCTACGTTGGCTTCTTCTGTGTTATTCCTAACTACATTTCATCAACCTTAAGTCTTTAAAGGAAATTTATACAAGATTATGATTCATCTTAAGGAAGATTCATTTCACGAACGGATGCCTTAGTGAGGAGTTCTCGTTTCTTCTCTGGCGAGAACCTCTGCGGTCTTCATAACAGGTGCTTCTCGGCACCGATAACTCTAGAAAGATACTATATTCTTTGGAATCAGTTGACTCAATTGAGAGGCGAAACAACTTAATTGTTTAATATGACCTAGTTGTTTATAAAGGTTGATAAAACCCCGTAGAAACATGAAATATTTCAAAAGGCTAGA